TGTGAAATGTTGTGTGATTTAGACCATACACAAGTCTATAAATTCCTTATTGTCACGTGTAGGAGCTGAGCATAAATTTTAGGCGGGTTTCGGATTTGATGAATGGATTTATTGACACCTGCAATTAATTACAGCGCTATCGCTGTTTCCGCACTTTACAGTTCGCTGTTACGCACCCCGAGGTCCTCAGTCTATTACAGACTCGACTATTCATTTCCTTCTCCAGTGTGTAAAGCACCATCAGCCATGATGTAAGGAAACATCTAATCGTGTTTACCATAGTCTTACCGATGTGGAAATGGGCGAAACAATTTGACTTGAAATCAGTTTCTAATGTTGTTACATTTAATAAAATTACACGGAAATTCCTTACATGTTCACATACTCGTACATAATTAACTCCACGTAGGCGAGTCCTTCAGGAACCGCCAGTCGTTTTCCCAGCTCTTATGGAACATAAAGGTTTATTACAGTGTTCACAAGATTGCACCACTGCTCCATTGCTAATTTTGCATTAGAAGTCATTCTGTATTTTCGAGATTAGATATTTGATAAAGTCCGAATATTTTTCAATCCGATGTCTGAAATAGAACTACCGTATTTACGCATGTATAGGCCGCACATTTTTTGCCAAAAATTCAAGAGGAAAACTGAGGTGCGGCTTATGTTCGAAATATTCGAAATCACACTTCATTTAAAAAAAAATTATATTCATAATTAGTAATACAGGATGTTCTACTCCTGAAATAATATTCAAAGAAAATTATTTTGTCTATAATTTCTGTCTAAAAATTGTGCTGCGGCCTATACACGCACGCGGCCTATACATGCGTAAATACGGTATATTTACATTCACTTTCTCCCTAATTAGCCCATCAAGCATACATTTCTGAAATGATCATGAAGAGTGATATTACGAAAAAATTAATGGGTCATAATAAATATTATATATATTTTGTACAGAGCATTCCACCTCAGGTTAATAATTCAATGTCATTATGTTAATTGATAATTGTTATGTCTTACAGTTGCTTTCGTTTTGCTTTATTAAAACATGAAATCTTGACAAAAGAATATCAGTTTTGTTTTTCACACTTATCATAAAATATATTGTTCATACGCTTTAAGAACCATCTCATCCGCACAGAGTAATTTCAGAAATATAGAGTGCAAAGATGGCAACAGAGATAAATATTTTAAGAAATTTCGTGATAATATTTTAAGTGAGTGCCTGAATGCAAATATGTAAAATATCCAGTAGTGTTTTCGCGAATACGGAGGAATATATGTAGAAATATTTACTGTTACACCTCATTGTATCCCGGACGTATTAACTTCCATACATTTCCTTTTTGGTCTACCAAGGTATCTTCTGGCAACAGTTTGCAATTTCAAGTACTTTAATTTTTTGCTCTCTCTTTTTGCATTAAAATTTCCAGCACATTACCTTCAAAGTTCGGTTAATTGTTTGTTTAAATACGAGGGCTATTCGGAAAGAAAATTCCATTTATAACTAATGTAAAAGAGGGGAAGTGGCCATGCATGTGAGGTAGCGTCACATGACTCACTGCCTTGTAAAGCATCACATAACTGGTCACCTAATGTTTGTTCTTGCCTCTACAGAGTGAATTATAAATGTTTTGTAATTGACAATCCCGCCAGTTACAAAATTCTTACTGTTATCCGCTTTCTTAGCGATAAAAACGTGAGGGCTGCGGAAATCCATCATAAATTATGCACGGTTTACGGTCAAAATGTAATGACTGAGGGAACTATAAGACAATGTTGTAGAACGTTCAAAGAAATGTGGGCGAACAAATGTACACGATGAAGAGCGAAATGGTCGGCCATCTGTAGTGAGTTCGATCCCGGATCTGGTCAAGTGGGATTTGTGGTGGACAAAATGGCGCTAGCACAGGTTTTCTCCGAGTATTTCGGTTTCCCCTGCCAATCTTCATTCCACCAGTTGCTCCACAATTACCCTCACCTATCATCTGGGGCTGATACAATAGGCCAGAAGTGGCCACAGTACAAGGGACTTAGTCCCATCCCACTAGCAATAAAATAATAAAAATTTGTAGTGAGTGATGATCTTGTTCAAAGTGTTGACCCCAAAATTTGGTAAAGATGGCGCTTTACAATTTCGGAACTTTCATGTGAATCTCCACAAATTTCATGCACTTTTCTCTACAAGAATATCACAGTTAGGCTAGGCTATCATAAGTTTCTGTGTAAGATTGGTTCCGAAAATGCGCACGGATGCGCACAAAACGTAAACAATAGCTTCGGCTTTGCTTTTTCTTTTTAGAGTGATAACACAAAGATGGCGATGAATTTCTCAGTCACCTTGTACGAGTAACAGGATGTGAAACCTCGGTTTTATTTCTGAATGCTGAAGCCAAAAAGCAATCAAAACAGTAGATACGCATTCAGCAAACAGGCCGAAATAGTTTAAACAGACGTTTGCCTGCCAGAAAGGTAAAATTATCCATGTGCTTAACTAATTAAGCACTACGCCATGAAGGTGTATGGGGCAGTGGATGTATAAATCCACATTTTCTTGACTTCGGCACTAGCTTTACCCTCCGGGGAAAAAAAAATTCCCGATACCCATTGGATAGGACTCTGGGTGGACCCCAGAGCCCGTCTGGACGACGTGGAGAAGAGAAAATTCTTAACCCTACCGGGACTCGAACTCCGACAACTTTGTCGTCCAGCCCGTAGCCAGTCGCTATACCAACTACTCTATTCCGGCTGCATGCCTGCCAGAAATCTGATTGCAACTGCTTTCTGGGACAGTAGAGGAGAGCTGATGGTGGAATTTGTGCAGCAAAGTGTATTGCGAAACGCTAAAAAGAAAAAAGAAAACTGCATAAGACCATTCAGAACAGAAGGCCTGTTCATGACAATAAGAGTCCGCATACAAGTACTGGCGCTTGAGCACTGCTGGAGCAAAGCAACTGGGAGTTGTTTGACCACCCTCCTTACGGCCCTTATCTAACTCCGAGCGATGCCACCTGTGTCTCTACCTGAAGAACTTGTTAGGATCACAGCGATTCAAAAATAATGAGTTCATGGAAGATGTCAAAACGAGGCTGAGCTCATAGGCGCGAGACTTCTTTGACCTTTGACACAGGCATACAAAAACTTATTCCCCGATAGGACAGATGCCTAAATTTCTGCGTTGACTACGTTGAGAAGTAATTTTTGTATAAATAAAAATTTGTTATCCCATTGTTTTTTTTTGTTAACAGCTTACTGGGGGTTATTTTTTGAATAACCCTCTTAAGACATTTTAACTTATAATTTAATTGTTAAATTATTATGATTTAAATCAGATAATCGAATTCTTATTGAACACTTCTTCTCTACGCATCTGTAGATTCAGAAATCTCATTTCTGATATTGTTATTTCGTAATTAAAACAGAAATGTTGCTTTTCACAAAAATATATTATTACAATTCAAAATTCTATTAATTTATTTATCCTGTTAGGTAAATACATTAAATCTAAGTAATAATTTTTCTACGAATTTCTTACCTGAAAGTTAAACTCGTTCTTTTGCTGTTTTTGTTGCGTGTCAATTTTCCAGAGATCCTGACTTTAAAGGCTATGGACCTTCCTAGTTATTCTTTTTGGGCGCGTATATTTTTGTAGCATGAGTACCTCTGGCTTTTCCCCTCTGGATCTATATTTTATCACCCAGGACATCATCAAACCAGCCTCAAGTTTTTTGATCTTGCTGAATTTCTAATTATAAGTTGTCCTAAGTTTTAATGAATTTTCATGCATTCATATTCTGTTCCTTTCAAGCTGTCAGTCCATTGTATCAAAATTAGGTCGCTGAGAATAGGAGCATAAAGAATGATGAATTCAGTGTGAAATTGGATTGTTTGAAAACAGGGAAAGTAGCATTCAGGTCTTGTAATTCCTTTGTATTCTTCTGTTGAGGTCCTCGAACGTTGGTCCCGCAAATGTCACTGCTTTGTTATTTCCCATGAAAGGAGGTGTTTGGTAACAAAGTAAAAAGTAAAAAAAAAAAAGATTAAAGCTATCCTTGTAACAGGCCGTGAAGGCCCATAAGGCTGTGAGACGTTGAGGCTCCCACATGTTCTAGACAATCGGCTCACAGATGGCGGTAAGTTTATCAGCCATACACTCCGATCGTCCTTTACCCCACCCCCCCCCAGAAAGAAGNAGAAAGAATTCTGGTATTCATTTCTGTTAGAGACTGAGTCGGCCCAAGGTCCGTAGCGCGACAGAAAGGTTTAGGTCGACTGAAAATTCTATTGACAGGATCGGGAACCTGCTTGTTGCATAGTACTTCAACCAAATACGCTCCCGAATGCCCCTATATAAAATTTTGACAAATTCCCGCGAGGTTCCTTACGCCTACAGCATGTTAAAATGGAACCAAACGCTGTAAATTAACTTATGGTATACACATGTTATTTTCATTTCTGCCACGTTTTTCCGTCCTGTCTGCCTGGTGGGGAACTTTGTAGCCACGAAGTGATCTATAGATATCTGCGCTGTTTCCTTGCTTGGCAAACATTGAATTCATGAAGGGACCACTCTGACTCGTCGACGGTGGAAAATAATTGAAACCTAGTCGATAGTGAGGGTCATTTATACCTAAACGGTTTCAGCACTTCTGTTCTGTTCTGTTCTGTTCTGTTCAGCTCAGCTCAGCTCAGCTCAGCTCAGCTCAGCTCAGCTCAGCTCAGTTCAGCTCAGCTCAGTTCAGTTCAGTTCGGTTCGGCTCGGCTCGGCTCGGCTCGGCTCGGCTCGGCTCGGCTCAGCTCAGTTTATCTTAAGAAACCCATGGCTATCCACGCATGCTTTCACTAGTCAACAATCATTAATCTGGAAATTGAAGCCCATCCTCTGGAACGATAAATAATGATCATATGCATTTAGGCTGCAGATAACATTTAGTTGTAACGAAGCTTTATAGTCCATATGCTTAACTTAATTTTAATTACTCTTTTTATGTTAGCAGAGCCTGAAGAGGAAAATGGATGCCATCTGCAACGGAACACACATTCATATTTCTTCCAAGTATCTACTTCCTTAACTGCAAGATAATTGATGCAGGATTCAGGAAAATGTGGCGCTGAAGTGTCTGAAATTTTATTTAAAACATAATGTAAGCAGTGTCTGTGCATTTCAGTGACAATCCGATTTAAAGGTGTGAGTGTTTCTGCAACCATCTTGCAACTGGTGACGTCAGAACTTGTTTACTTACTTTCTTTAAGTCGATTGAGTAAGAAGTGATTTAATTATGAAACTCGCTGTAATTAATACAGAGAGTTGACAAGGAGATGAATGGAAAATGCACCGTGAGACAATTAACTATGTTACATTGTGCAAAATATATTCATCATAGGAAACATGAAAACCCACTCTCAAGAATGAAACCAATGAAATCGGTCGAAACTTTGTCTTTGGCATTTGTTTGGCTATGTCTAGAACATACAGGAACAGAAACCAGACTCTCAGATCTTCAATTATATTTTAGTGCGAAATGTGTTAAGGTGGTTTTTGGTTCGCTAAACTGATGAATGACATACGAAGTATGCATTCCAGTGAGAACTGAGTTGTAAACAAAGCAACTCTTGAACAAAACTTTACAATTATTTGATAACACAGGCTTAAGCAAATATTTATTTCTTATATATTTCTTTAATACAAACTAAAAATTACTAACAATGAATCTTAGTGACGAGTATACACAAATGATCGTTGAGGATTGTCTCACAAGAAGACTGAAAGAAAATGTATCACATTTTGACATCATGGAAAACATGTCAAATGTACAAAATAATTTTAGTGTCCTTGGCGTAACACTTCGTCTTCTTCAGCAGAACTGCAATTCACTGGCAGCAAATTTCGAGGAAGCGTCCGCAAGCTCATCTATAATCCCCGTCCTCTCTCGGCCATTGCTTGTACTCGAGGCCGTCGCCCTGGGACTCATGATCCTGTTAACAATTGGTGGAAATATTCTCGTGATTGTCGCAGTCGTACCAAGCCCAACTCTACGCTCACCAACGCACTCTTTGATCGTGAACCTGGCCATCGCCGACTTGCTTCTGGGCGTCACTGTGTTGCCTTTATCAGCAACACGAGAACTGTCCGGCGTATGGCTTCTGGGTCCTAGTCTCTGCTCCATATGGACAGCTCTGGACGTTCTGTGCTGCACTGCCTCCATCCTGTCTCTCTGTGGAATATCTGTGGACCGGTATATCGGAGTGTCAAGACCCCTGGCTTATTCTCGGATCTTGACCAAAAGACGTGCAAGAGGAATGATTGCGGGGATATGGGCTCTAGCTTTGGCTATAAGCATCGCACCTCCTCTGGGTTGGAGGGAAGAACCTCGACCAGGAGAGGATCAGTCAAACGACAGCGAGTGCCATGTCAACAAACAGCTGGGGTACGTTATCTTCTCGGCATGTGGGTCCTTCTATCTGCCGGCTCTTGTCATACTGGCGCTCTATGCGCTGGTATATCGGGCTGCAGCAAGACATTCGCTGTTCCTGCAGTCTGGATCCCGAGTCACGCGCTCGGATGTGACGCTCAGAGTGCATCTGGGAAACAACAGCCTCAAGGCCAGGATATACGAGGGGCACGCCACTGAGAGGGTAAGTTCTTTCTGTACTCAATGTTTAGCACGAACCAGACACTCTTGGTTATAGTCACGGTAACTTTCCCCATTTGGTTATGGTAAACGGCAATTTCTATTTAAACGGGACCCTCACTCGGCCTCCAAATATGCAAACACCTATTTCTTTTTGGCTGTCAGTGAACATGCTTATACTCTGCCTCTTTTCTCTATTATACCAGGAACACTTCCCATATTCTTTAGCTTTTCCATAATAATATCTGAAACAGAAGATACAGGTATCTCTTTTGTTCGAAATATTTGGAGAACATTTTCACTTGAGGAACTTGAGCTCTCCCCTGTTGTTAGTTACCCCCAAGCGTTCTGATACCCTGCTTTTAGATTTTAGTCTCTATCAAGATTACAACAATTTCTTTTCCACAAATTATTTGGAGTAGAGTCTTTGAGAAACTGATAGTCGCTCAAAATGTCAAGAAATTCTCATTTATTCAATCGAAAATTTTGTGTATGTGTTCAGAAAAGCCGTCAACTTGACCACATAGGTAGTCAGCTGAATCCAAGTTGTATAAAACAAGTTTATCAAAGACATACAAAAGCGATATGCTACCTAGTAATATTTTACATTCAGTTTTAAAAATTGGCTTAGTGGGGGGTGGAGTCCAACTGGGTCTACTCGGCACGGCGGCCACTGATTGGCCTATTATACCTGCTCCGGGTGATTATGATGATGGAGAATTTGGTGAAATGAAGATTTTCAAAGGAAACCTAAGTACAAGGAGAAAACCCGCCCCAGCGCCGCTTTCTCCACCACAAATCCCACTTGACCAGACCCGCGATCGAACCCAGGCTGCCGCGGTGGGAAGCCAGCGACTAACCGCTTGAGCTATGGTGCGGCCATTTTTCTGATTAAAATGTCATAAATATCTGTTTCTTGTCTCTCCCATGAGTGAATGACTTATTTGTTTCATCTTTATATTCTAGCAGTCAATCAAACACAGCAGATCAGGCATATGAACTAGTGGCTGACATGTCTGCTACAAAATCAAATGTAAATAGAAATTATATATTGCACTTATTGATTAAATACGTGAAACCAGATAACCGTTAGGAGATAATCACTGTAATGTCCACATTACAACGACACTGAACTAAATATTCTTATAATGAATTATGTATGAGATCAATCACGAATTATACATAATCACTAGGTCTTTAGGTACAGTAAAACATTATACATTTGTAAAATGTAGGGTGTGCTCTGTTTATTCATATGCTAAAGCTTATTTACCGTTCTCAGTAACTCAGCTGTATAGCCTCGATTTTTATGATGATAATTAATAGTTATAATAATAATAATAATAATAATAATAACAAATGGAAAAACTACCACATTATCACTTTTCCTGGATAGTCTCTTTCCAAAAACAGAAGATCGCATTAAGTGGAGGAACTGTTTGGGAAGAGACTGTGGACCTGTCGTCTGACAGATTACTGATAGATGGAATTAATAGTGCACTGGAAACGATGTGAAAGGAAGCCTGGCTTAAGAAACTATTCCCATGTTTGTCTGGGAGGGTTCGGGAAACCCATGAAAGCCCTCAGCGAGGAGAGTTTGTGTCCCAGCTGGGACTGAATAGAGTTCCTCCCGGATATAAGTTAGAAGCGTTGCAGCTTGATACAGCGCCCTCTGCTGATACGATGAAAATGTTAATGCACTACAGTACAGTACAGTTTCACCAGGGGCGTGGTTACTGTTTGAAGAGGTGCAGTCCTCTCGTCAAGACAAATTACATTGCTCTAATGATAATCTGTGGATGTGACTAGAGAGGGTCCCAATTTTTATCGGTTCAGTGGCTTGTCCAAGACAATTTTCCACTCTGCTACTAAAGATAACCTCACTTTCTGAACTAGCCCTGGTTAGTCTTGGCGAGATTACTAAATCTGAATGAGACATTGCTGACTTGCACCTATTTTGCACGGGTCACTGTTCCTCCAGTCGATGTAATTAGACTTTGGAGCGATTCGGTCTTATTTTGATTGTGACAGGCTGATCAAGTCTAAAGCCAACAAGATACTACAAAACTCTCTGTGAGTTTATTACACAAATAATTCAGACGTTTACCGTTTTCTTCTTTGCACTCCATGAAAATGGCAGTATTATCTGCGTTATCTGTTCCTGCTTCCTCGGTCAGTCCATCTTTTCTTACAATTTCATGAGTTCCTTTATCCTTTGAGTCTATGTTTTATGCATTTTTAATAGTATATTGTCATCCATTCTTTGTTTTTCTTCGTTTTTTTATTTTGTACTTTATTTTATTTAGATAATTTTGTAATTCTTGTCTTATTTCTCTAATGCTAGCGCTATTCACCTTCGTACAGCTTCGCTCTACCTCTGCAGACCGTTGACGTATTTTTCTTTGCCGTTTAGTTGCCACTACTGCAAGAAAGTGAAGTAGTGGCCTTAGCTTTATTAATTTCTTCTTGTAATATTTGATATTTCATTAATGTTCCATCCCTGAATTCTTCTGTATGTTGTCAGATCTTTATTAATTGGAAAATTATATTGGGCCTTATCCATTTTCTTAGTTATATTTTAATAACCACTATAGAAATGAATCTGTTTCGTCATCAGGCATCAGAAAGGGAAATTTTCTGTTCACTTACGTTCGTTAGATAGTGTGTGTCTCGAACAATGGACAATTCATGAAGTTCTAGGCAGAGTACATATTCTGTCACCGTTAAATAGCATAATTGGGAGAATGATGGAAGGTGATAAAGCTTCCGAAACGTCGTATAAAAAAATTGGAGAAAATTTAATATAATTTTATAATTAATAAATTTTCTTTCTCACAAACCTTTGGAGATCATCAGATTCTCAAGAAGCATCTCATGATAATTCATGGCTCTCCAAGTCTCCAGGCAATAACCACTGTACACCTTACTGAATGTACTCACAGGCCTTGTAGCCTTACGTAGCTTTCCTCCACTTCAGTTTGATCATGTCCGCCGCTTTCTCGCCGATCATGTAAACAGGAGCCATCGTGTGGCTGACAGGGATCACGGGCATGATGGAAGCGTCCACAACTCGAAGGCCTTCAATCCCTCTTACCCGAAGCTCTGGGTCCACAACGGCGTCAGGATCTGAGTCGGGACCCATCTTGCAGGTCCCCACCTGGTGTTGCAGGGTTGTGGTGACGGTCCGCGCTGCGCACATCCAGTACTCGTCTGACCCGAACGTCAGGTGTTCACACCCCGGAAATGGGATGCTGTGAAGTTTGCTGTCGAACTTCTGTAATGCCTTTGTCTGGCTCAGAGCAATTGCCTGGTGGGGAAAAGGAAAACAGTGCTTTCAGATACAGAACTGCGTGCAGACGTGTAAGGGAGTGGAGATACTGCTTCATGGCTTCTCAGCCGGAGTTCTGCATGGAAGTGAGTGGTCAACTCTGTACTTGCTTACTTATGGAGCTGAGCCCTTCTTGAGGAGCAGCTACTCAAGAATTTCCTAACATTTTATGGAACCAGAAGGTTCATTACCGTGCTCACAAAAGCCCTCCACTGGTCCCTATCCTGAGCCAGACCAATCCAATCCACACCATCCCATCCTATCCCTCTAAGATCCATTTTAACATTGTCCACCCATCAACTCCTTGGTCTTACCAGCGGTGTCTTTCCTTCTGGCTTTTCCACCAATATCCTATATACATTCCTCCCTCATTCGTACTAATGCCCCACCCACCTCGTCCACCTTGACTGGTCAGCTACACAGACTGCATTAAATCTGGAGGAAGCTACTGCTCTACCCATTGAATGGGACCATGTGTGGGCCGAAGAGCCGCTCTGGAGACAGTGGGGGGGGGGGATTACTCACCCTACTGAGAATCGAATTATGGTCACTCATATCGTAAAATAGAAAATAAACACCGATTATTTGAATTAAAATATATTGTTCTGGTTGAAAAGTACAGTGATTTTCATAGAATAAAATCTAATGTAATTGAAAGCTGTTCAAGATAGCCTACCTAAGGGTTCGTCAAACTTGTTATGCGTTCCCTGTTTAAGCTACATGAAAATAACACGCTATAGTAGTGATCATGTGTGTTTCTGTTAGGATATCGTTAAGTCGGGATTCGCTGGACGAATTCTTATTAAACTTGGAATGAACATTTTGCCACTGGAGTATACCCAGAACTGTTATTTCATTTTTTTTTCCACGTTGTAGCCTAAAACGATGCAGTGAAGACACAAAATTGTTCAGCTACTCTAGCGCCATTATCAAAATTTGGCAAACCTGTTAACCGATACAAACCATGGTAAAGATAGAATAGAAATAATTATAATAATAATGATAATGAGTAACCAAAGTAAGCATGAGAATGAACTTCCTAGATTCGATAAATGTACACACACCACAACATGTATGTCTGAAGGCAGCTCGTCTACACGTCATGTTACCAAAAGCTTCGTTATGTGTTTAGGCAGTTTATATGTGAATTTAAAATCTTGCAGTAAAGTAATGGCATTATAAACACCTTCAGGTTATTGAAAAGCACCTAGGAAGAATTAAATTCTAATTTATAATTAATAGAACTAATATGTTCATCGAAGATATTGAGAAGAGCTAGAAACTTTCGCAATGCTTAAGTTCAAAGGACACATGAGGAAACTATAAATTCCAGTATGGATTTAAATTTCTGATATTTTTTCGAGGTAGGACAACTGTGAGAATAATATAATTCTTATCGCAGATCGCAAGAACCTACCAAAAACTATACACAATGAAATAATTAGATTACAAAAGTTTTATAATTTGCTCTCTAGCACTTAGATATTTCAAGCAATTATAATCAAACACTGATTCACAAAGTAAATCTGACGAATGAGGAGATATTTTTATGAAACATCATTTGCCATTATTTACATCTGAGCTTCTAAATTAATCTGAAAACTAAAGGCATTTTCAAAAATTCGCAGTCCTCGGTACTGTACACAGATTAATATTTAACGTGGAAATTTATCATGTAACTATATTGTGATAATCACGGAAATATTAAGTCATTATCATGAAGATTCTCTGTACGTGTTGGTAAGACTGAATAACCCAAGACTAGAACACAGGCGGCAATTCCTTAATTCTCTATTTCTCAGTATTGTAAAAAAATTTAATTGCAGATGATTTTGAATGCTTTTAGTTTACGTTACCCACGAGGTTAATCAAGAGATTTCTCAATATCTGATGTTCGCCATGGCGCAGAAGTTAGACCCTCAGCCAGTCGCATTCCTAGAATAAAAGTTATCTGCAGATATATTAACATTGTAATATATATTTAATTTATTTTACTCTTATTGTTGATTCGTTATTGAATGTACATAGGGCCAGTGACGTTAGGCAGATAGAAATGCACACAGCTGAGCCGTTAATACCTGATCCTAGCACTCTTAAGGTTGAAATTTGCTATTGTAAAAATTGAAATAAATCTCCAGGTAGTGATCAAATTCCGGCAGAACTTGTTCAAGCAGGAGGCGAAATATTACGTTCTAAGATCCACAAACTAATTACTTCTATTTAGCATAAGGAAAAATTGCCTGATCAGTGGAAGGAGTCTATTATTGTACCAGTTCACAAGAAGGGTGATAAAACCGGCTGTAGTAATTATCGGGGGATATCACTGCTATCAACTTCATACAAAATTTTATCCAATATTCTTCTATCAAGGTTAAGTCCATATATAGATGAAATTATTGGGGATCATCAGTGTGTGTTTCGACGTAACAGATCAACTACAGATCAGATCTTTTGCATTCGTGAGATATTGGAGAAAAAATGGGAGTACGATGAGACAGTACCTCAGCTATTTGTAGACTTCAAGAAAGCCTATGATTCAGTTAGGAGGGAAGTATTGTACAATATCCTAATAGAGTTTCGGATACCCATGAAACTAGTTAAGCTGATTAAAATGTGTTTAAACGAAACTTATAGTAAAGTCCATGTAGGTAAACTTTTGTCTGATAAATTTCCTAACCATAATGGTCTAAAACAAGGAGATGCTTTATCGCCACTCCTTTTCAACTATTCATTAGAATATGCAATTAGGAAGGTCCAGAGAAACCAGGTTGGACTGAAATTAAAGAGGACACATCAGCTGTTGGCCTATGCCGATGATGTGAATCTACTGGGTGATAATGTAGATACCATAAAGAAAAACATACAAACTTTATTTGACGCAAGGAAAGAGGTTGGTCTAGAAGTACAAACAGAGAAAACTAAGTTTATGTTGCTGTCTCGTCACCAAAATGCAGGGCAAAATCATTATATAAAGATAGGAGACTGATGTTTTGAAAATGTGGCACAGTTCAGACATTTGGGAACAACAATAACAGATCGAAACCTGATTCAGGAGGAAATTAAGAGGCGATTGAACTCGGGTAATGCTTGCTACCATTCAGTCCAGAACCTTTTGTCTTCTTGTCTGCTGTCCAAAAACATAAAAATTAGAATATACAAAACTATAGTTTTGCCTGCAGTTCTGTATGGGTGTGAAACTTGGTCTCTCACATTAAGGGAGGAACATAGACTGAGGGTGTTTGAGAACAGGGTGTTGAGGAGAATATTTGGACCGAAGAGAGATGAAGTGACAGGAGGTTGGAGAAAACTACATAATGAGGAGCTTCATAACTTGTACTTTCCTCCAAGTATAATTAGAATGATCAAGTCAAGGAGTATGAGTTGGGCAAGGCATGTAGCACGAATGGGGGAGATTGAGAATGTATATAGGATATTGGTGGGGAAGCCAGAAGGAAAGAGACAACTATGAAGATCAAGGCATAGGTGGGTAGACAATATTAAAATGGAGCTTATGGAGATAGAATGCTGGATTGGACTGATCTGGCTCAGGATAGGGACCATTGGAAGGCTCTTGTGAGCACGGTATTGAACATTCGGTTTCCATAAAATGCTGGGAAATTCTTGAGTAACTGCAAAATTGGCGGATCCTCAAGAGGGCTCAGCTCCATAAATAAGTATGTAAGATTTTTTTAATTTGTTAATAATTGCAATAATATTTATGATTTTTCTTTATCCCCAATTATTACTCATGTTATTCTGATTTCAGCATTTGTTCTCTGTGTATTCTCCCTTCTTCTTTGTTCACGTATATTCACTTAAACCTTCAGTGCTTGCCTCTAATTGGGTTTAGTTATTGCCAAGCACTTTAACAAATTAATCCAATTAAATTCTCGTCGGCAGACAAAAGCCAGTGGAAGTCACTTAGTATCTTCTGTACGCCGCACATGGCTGGCGATTCCTACTCAGTTCTGTACAACGCATTTGCATATACCTGTATACTTTGGCGTCTATTAGTGACTAAGACGCGGGTCTGGATTGGTAATCGATTTATTGGATAACTGAACGTCATAAATACAAAGAATTATAAAACTCCAAATTATTACTGGAACAATAACACATAAAGCAAAGTCTGCACACTTCAATTCTAATCTTCGTTTGTAGCCTCCGGAAATCTGCTATTGGATTCTGTCTCTTAGTCCGTTATCTTCGCTACTCTTATATTCTTCTCTTGAACCGTGTAGGAGTCAATAGTCTCAATTGCCTTGAACTGTCCTCTTGACACAACTGCTGAACTGCTGGTGTTATTCTGTAAATCTTGTCATATAACCTCCGCATGGACCATATAGAAAACACGGCCTGTCTTGGGCGAAACTTTTGTATTGCTCGTTGCCTAACAATAGACGTCTGGTACTGTTGTAACGCACCCAACTGAAGGTTGTTTACAGGTACTTTGCCTGGCAATGAAAAGCCCTTTGCCTCTTGTTTATGTGTTTGACTATAACTAATGAATACAACATAAAAATTTCCGTTTCAAAACAAATATAATCCAGTATAGAACGAGAGAAATATATAGGAGTAAATTAATTAACTTTACTGAAGGAAATATTTGTTTAACAAATGATAAATTTCTGTTATTTATTATGCAGTATAGGCTCTAATAAAGAAATTGATTTGCGACTATAGAATATTCATCGGCGGTAACTCTTAGTGGGAGATTTTTATTTTTATATGGCTTACGAACTTCATACGTACTTTTTTACAGAAACATTTCAAATTGCTGTTCAGTAACGAAAGTTTCGGTCTAGAAAAACCGAAATTAACGGACTTGGGGATCCGTTGCACTGACCACGCGACACCCTCTATCCGCAAAAGTTGGCACTAACTTCATCTACAAGCGGCGGTCACTCTGTCGGTCGGTATAGTTCGCTTGCGGACTAAAATCACGGAGTAAGTAATGTACGACGTGTAACGTAGTAGGT